AAAATCTATATTTGATTAATGAATCTATATTAAACAAAAAAACCATGATAAAAAATTGTATTCAATAAAAATAATCTAAGTAGAATAGAAAAAAATTGTATTAAATAAAAAAGCCTAGGTGATTAAAAAATCTATAAAAAAAAGCCTGAGTTAATCACCTATAGTGAATAAAAAATAATTAATTTCTAATAAACAATCTAAAATAAATAAAAAACATTTAGTATTCAACAAGATTTTTTTCCATTATAACCGTAATATTAAAGACTTCCGATCCAGAGAAAATCTATATTTTATAAAAAAAAAACAATATCAAATAAAAAACTTAATAGACAACCGTATTTAATAAAAAACTAATCTAAAAGGGACGTAGGTACAATGGAAAAAAATCTTGTTGAATACTAAATGTTTTTTATTTATTTTAGATTATTTTAGGTGATTAAAAAATCTATAAAAAAAAGCCTGAGTAAATCACCTATAGTTAATAAAAAATAATTAATTTTTAATAAATAATCTAAAATAAATAAAGAACATTTAGTATTCAACAAGATTTTTTTCCATTGTACCTACGTCCCTTTTAGATTAGTTTTTTATTAAATACGGTTGTCTATTAAGTTTTTTATTTGATATTGTTTTTTTTTTTATAAAATATAGATTTTCTCTAGATCGGAAGTCTTTAATATTGATTAACTCATTTTTTTATTAACTATAAGCATTCTACGAAGGATTTTTTTTAGATTTTGTATACAATCAAATTTTTTATTAAAAATTAGATTATATTTTATTCAACATAGATTTTTTATTAAGGTTTCTTGTCAAGATAGACTTTTTATTAGATTAAGATTTTTTCTATTCTACATACGTTATTTTTTTTATTGAATACAGTTTTTATTTATTATAGATTGTTTATTAAAAATTGATATTTTTTTATTAACTAAATGTAATTTACTCAGGTTTTTTTTATAGATTTTTTATTCAACTAGGCTTTTTTATTCAATCAAGATTATAATGGTAAGCTTGGAAAAATATTTAATTACAATATTGCGTATAACCTAAAAAAAAGCTTAGTTGAATAAAAAATGTATAAAAAAACTTTAGTGAAATACCTGCAGTTAATAAAAAAAATCTATTTTTAATATACAATCCATATTAAATAAAAAACTTAATAGACAACTGTATTTAATAAGAAAATATTCTAAGTACAATGGAAAATATCTTGATTGAATAAAAAATCTCTCTTGACAAAAAATGATTTTATTGTTTTTGGAGGGGAGGAAGGTCGTGCGAATTTTCAAACCGGGCGTGCGAATTCGTGCGAATTCGTGCGAATTACGTGCTAAATGTCTGCAGAAGAAAATTTGCGAAAATGTTAATTTGGATCTCCGGGGGGGCTGGCGAAACGTTTTGCCAGCCCCCCCATGAATTTTTGTTTTTCTAGGGGAAGGAAGGTCGTGCGAACTTTCAAACCAGGCGTGCGAATTCGTGCGAATTACGTGCTAAATGTCTGCAGAAGAAAATTTGCGAAAATGTTAATTTGGGCCTCCGGGGGGGCTGGCGAAACGTTTTGCCAGCCCCCCATGAATTTTTGTTTTTCTAGGGGAAGGAAGGTCGTGCGAATTTTCAAACCAGGCGTGCGAATTCGTGCAAATTACGTGCTAAATGTCTGCAGAAGAAAATTTGCGAAAATGTTAATTTGGACCTCCGGGGGGGCTGGCGAAACGTTTTGCCAGCCCCCCCCATGAATTTTTGTTTTTCTAGGGGAAGGAAGGTCGTGCGAATTTTCAAACTAGGCGTGCGAATACGTGCGAATCACGTGCTAAATATCTGCAAAAAAAAATTGCGAAAATGTTGATTTAAACTATGGGGGGGCTGGCAAGACGTGTTGCTGGCCCCCCCCATGGATTTTGATTTTTGAGGGGGAAGGAGAGTCGTGCGAATTTCAAAACTAGGCGTGCGAATACGTGCGAATCACGTGCTAAATATCTGCAAAAAAAAATTGCGAAAATGTTGATTTAAACTATGGGGGGGGCTGGCAAGACGTGTTGCTGGCCCCCCCCCCCCATGGATTTTGATTTTTGAGGGGGAAGGAGAGTCGTGCGAATTTCAAAACTAGGCGTGCGAATACGTGCGAATTACGTGCTAAATATCGGCGCAATTCATTTATGGATTTTCCATTGGGGGGGGGGGGCTGGCCAAACGTACGTAAAACGGAATCGCCCACAATAACAACAAAAGTCGAAACAATATAAATATTAGAACCTCATAAATGCTCAATAGGTAAGTCATGCTACGTTTTATTAGACGTCCAGATGGGTATGTATAATACACAGGTATAATAAATGTATAATTTAACATTAAACTCACAAGTACCTACCCTATACATTGCAATCAAAATAATATTGTTCGTACGCGTTAATCGCTATACGCGTGTCACGTGTTTATATACTGTTAGGTACCATTCGAGAAATGCATAATGCAATCCCGGACAATATAATAAGACTTTTATGCTTTAGACTTTTACTCATATTATTATAATTCCTTAACCAGCGAATTTTATATTGTAATATCTACGCTTACACAGCAGTCACTCTGATCGCGAGCAAGGTGTTAGGACGAAATTTGTAAATAAAATGATAACAATAATCGTGTGCGAAACAAATGGATAAGAATGAAAAAATAAAATGCGAACTCGCATAATACACCTGTCACAGGGGCGTTATATTGTTTTTTTGCATGTCTTTCTCTCGGACACGAATGCGTGAACAAAACGCTCGACAGTCGACCGGCGAAGAAAATATTATTGTTCTATTATAGGCTATACATTATACCGAGTATAATACAACAATTATTAATATTTACCATAAATATAATATGATAATAGCAAACAGGGCCTTTTGATGTTACCGTAAAATATGTATAGGGTGATTTTCCGTGTGGTACATTTCAATCAAATGCCATATTTGTATACAATTATACTAAAAATATTTATAAAAGTACCTAATATCATTGATTGTATATAGTACATTATACTATTTCTAATCAATGCTAATATGTAACAGCAAGATATTTTTTTAGATTTTGATTTTCGAATGTTTGAATAAAAAGTATATTTACAAGAATTTTAATTTTATAGATGAAGTGAACCGATGAAGTTTCGGTCTTTTATACCATATATTGTATTAATGTAACCTGTACATTATTACAAACACTGATAATATACTTTTGGTACAATATAGATTATAGTTTGATTCTTTGATATAATATTTATATTTCATACATTAACATCATATTTCATCAATTTTATGAAATTTGCAAAATTGTTAAAATCCACGGTGATAAAAAAAGTAATTTTCGTTTGGCTATATTTACAATAAATGAATAAAACAATATTATCTATTTGAAAAAGGTTTTTTTTAAATGTTACGAAATTGTACTGAGAAAAGAAGCGTCGAAAAGACTATATTATATACTTTGTATGCTGCATTTAACAATATTCAAAATTATGTGGACTTAGAATATTATACCTGTAAGTATAGGTATTCGATAATGAAAAATACTTATCACTCGCTCCATAAAAAAATGGATTTGGTAAAATAAATATTATTATGCCGTCCGTGTTATAGGTACGCCGTACGCGATGTATATATTATAGGAATAATAGTAATAATATCTGACAGACGAAATAATTTATGAAAGCAGACGTGTCTTGGCAAAACTTATATATTCGTTCATATGCAGTCGATGCGTTGTCGGCGTATAGACAATAACTCATAAAGTTATAACGCACAACTGCACAAGACTTGGCTAGTCGTCAAGATGGTATACATATTATTATTATTATTATTATTATTATTGTGCGACAGCGTCGGTTGCAGCTCAGACTCGGGCGGTAACCACGGTCGTGGTAATCGCATCACCCTGTATAATATAACTCATACGCATATATATACCTGTGCGTAATTTAGTGTTTGACCGAGCGTACTTGCGATACCTACACTATGTGTGCTATATAATATGTTAAAATTTAAAGTATTATAATTTATGATGTATGCACTGCACCGTGGAGTCCATAATATTATAGCATACCTACACAGGGTGATCCATTTAACGTAAGACGTTCATTGTTTTAAAAACTACTAACATTTTTGAAAATATTATTTTACAATCTCACATAATTTTAAGTCATTAAAAAACATAAATATTTTGTACTACCTATTTTTACATATTTTTTAATGACAATTTACATTTTTAATTCCTTATTCTAAAGCTGAATATTTTTATTTTTGATACTTTAACCTAACCTAACTTCGATACATAAAAATCAAATTTTAGACGAGTAGCTTATGAGTTCTAAGTGTTTTAAGATGAGATGAGCTAAGTGTAATGACTAATACCTATCACAGAAAATATTGGTACACAACTACTCCGATCGTCTAAACTTTAAATACTTTTATAAATTATAACCAAAAACTATTTGTCCGAAAATTGATTTTGGTATTGATGAAAATACTCCGAATAATAGTCTGCTTCGGAATAAAATGAAAAATGAAATAAAATGAATAATATGAAAGATGTACCTAAATATGTTATGATATATATTATCATTAAAAAGAGTAATACAACATGAAAAATAATAATAATAAAAAATAGTAAAAATATAATTTTTTCCAGATAAATTATTTGTTATACTTCAAATTATACAAAAGAAATATTTTTACAAACGTCAGACTTTTCTGAAATAGGCAATGAGCATCTTTCGTTAAATGAATCACCCCGTATATGTATATATGTATTCTTCCAAGTCCAGACGTGTATCGCGTTACGTCTTAAGCACTCACATACACACACACACATTATGCTTTTATAATATACGTCCAGGCGAACATAATACAACTCTTGTGTATTCGTATGTAGGAATCACAATAAGCATGGGTACACGCGTTGTTTATATTATAATATAATATGTATAGTACTATATAGTTGTATAGGTGTTTGGTACTCACTTGTTCGCAGGCTCTCCTACAGTTCCCGGTCACGCGGCCGCAACACTTGGCTGTCAACAAACAAAATAGGTATATAATATAAGACAATCGACATCGTACGTATAGTTTAATATAATATTATATATCGCTCAAATGCAAACACGGTGCGAGTCCCGCGGAGAGTGTACAGACCACCCGGCCATCATATTATGCAGCGATTTTGCGATGTCTTATCGTCGAGCCCGAAGTGTATACCTTATAGCCCTCTATATTCGTGGACATAATATCACATGACGACAAATACATTATGTAATTGTATTTTACGATATCGCATCCGTCGTGAGTTCCACTCTCGATCCGGGAAACGTGCGTTCTCGCATATATAGGTAGGTGCGACCAGCGAGTGCGTATATCGGCCGAGCAGCCAGTGAGTATTTTTATCCCGAAACGCGACGGGTGTAGTGCACTGTACGCGGCGGTGCGAGAAAATTCGCATTTATCATGCTCAATTATTTCCGATTAAAAAGTCTTGTGCCCGGCAGACGAACGGCGCCTCGTTAGTACACACCACAATATTATGGTCTATCTCGGATTTCGTGTGCTCGTACAGCGGAGGCCCCCTTCCCACCCTCCCATCGTGCTCACACGGGGTCTCAAGTCGGAAATAACCTTATGGTCTGTCGCCCGATCGTCCCATTTAGAAGCACGCGTGTTTGAACAACGCACAGCACCACTAGCGCGGGATATGTCCGCCGTAATCGCCTTTTGCTGTTTCAGATGAGTGTTTAATGCATATAATATGTGTATACTTACACGTATAGTTATTACTTATTAGTTATATATACGCCCGCAATGTGTTTGTGCTCCAGAAACTGTTCATCGACGTTTATGGACCAACGGTTGTATTATTATTATTATTTATTATTTATACTATCGGGGGAAGATAAAAATTACTAATACGCGCGACCATCTCTCGCCTGAACGTATACACACACATAAATAATATAATATAATATATTATTATATATACATACACATAGTATTATACGAGCAGTCACTCCAACACGTGTTTTTCGTACCGGCGTCTGTTTTTCGTTATACGCATGCCACCGGCCGGTCGGGAAACGTGTTCAATGGGTATTTACGAAATTCGATACAGAAATTTTTTTTATTATGTATACTTATACGTTTTTCAGAATCCGAGGTTACCGTCTTCGTCGGTCTCTGGCAAAACTTGTGAACAACGAAAACTTTTCGAAAACAAATTTGAATAACTGGACCGGACGATTTCCTTTTGCTGTCCAGTGCTCATATAAAAATCGATTTAGACCATAATATTATATAGGTTATACTAGTATTATAGGTATATCTACTATTTGTATGCAGTTCTAGGCTGGTGATGGATTCGTCGGCTTGTCATGACGGTATCGTGACCAATTAGAATCGTGACGTAATAATTATTGTTATAATACTACATGACACGCCGCCTGGACCATAATAATATGGTCTAATAACATAATGATATGACGCTTGTGTTAATTAATAATTATTCGTATCTCGTATACATATTATATAGACAGCTACGAAGTATATATTTCTTTCACAGTTTGTTTTTTGCCTTAATACTCTATATTCATCCTAGTAGGTCGAAGTCGTATTTATGTAATATAAAATTGAAATTTCTATGTATTTGGTGATCAAAAACAATATTATTTTAAAACTATTGAAAATACAGCATGAAACGGTAAAATTACGATTGACATAATATACAATTTTTTTTTTTTTGGTTTTGACATTTATGAATCCCAAAAACCGTTGATCGATGTATTTTGTAACAAATATTTATTGCGAAGACATTATGTGTATTAATTTACCTATGTCTTATACAATATGTTTTAGTAAGTAAAGTGAACAATTTTAGTAAGGTTATTGTTTAGCAAATTAACTATATCAACAAATTTAACAAACAATTTCTGATATAAGCAATTATTACCAAATGTGATATTTCAACATGTTGATTATAATATAATATTGGTATAACTTAACAAATTTCCATCACATCTAATGTTTCATTCAATTGTTGATAAATTTTATCACACAGTAATATTATATTATTCATTTAAAAGAAATTTAATGATAGTAATAGGTATTATAATATGCTATGTAATTTCATTTTTTTTTTTTTTTATTATTTTTGTTTAGGCATAACCTTACAATACAATTTAAAGTTGAAAAAACGGATACCGAAACTTTTAATTGAAACTGTTACACATGCGTTTACTTAAAATGATACATTTTTCAGAAAAATAAATTTCACAGGTAATAATTTTATTTTAGCTTGAATATTGAAAATATATTTGCGATGTTCAATTTTTTTAATTTTTAACCAATTCAACCTTGTTTTCATCTTCTAATTATTTTGACTAAAAAAAATTGTGATTTATACATTATTAGATTAAAAAAAAACTTGTGTCAGTATAGGTATCACAAATTTTACTTCACGCGTATGGTTGGTGTTCAAGACTTTGAAGAAGAAGAACTGTTATTATATTATGCGGCTATTGCTACTGCTAGATGATGCCTATTATTACTATTTACTACTACTACTAATTATAATAATAGTTGTTATAGATACGCATAACTCAAAAGGTTACACCGAGAACAGGCTTACCTTTTTCGGCATCGATGAGACGTCCAGCGCCCAACACCAACAGGAAATAAACGATCAACATTATGATACCGTGGTCGGGTGTCTGACGGATCATTATTCTTCTCGCAGCATAGCCGCCGGCATAGACGTTTCGGGACCAGCGGTCCAAAAGCTTTTTTCGAATTATTTTTATAAACCACAAACCGAGTTGTAGGACACTTCGCAAAACGGACGATTAGGCACGAGGGGCTCACCACGCGTTACTGAACGGCATCGGAGACGAACGCGCGCTCCGCACACATTATTCAATTATATTTGGAGGTGGAGCGTCCGGCGGCGGCGGGTGTTGTCGGGCGGCGCCCCGATGTATACCTACTATTATATTATCATAGTACAGGTGACGCCATCTGGCGTGCCGGACTTGATCGCGGTTCTAAAAATACTCACAGCCTCCTCCGGACGATTCATCAAACCTCAAACGCCGCCGTCAGGTCACGCGTCGTTTGTGTTTACACTCCGCGGCCGGATAAAAGAGTATAATATTATAGTGTATTATGTGGTGGGCAAAAAATCTAAATCTAAAAACGATCAAGGAATGAAAATAATAATTATGTGCTCGGCAGTCAACATTGGTAAACTTTCAGGTGGACCACTTATATTTCAGATCAAAACTTAAAAAAAATAAAATAAAAAAACAAGTAGAGACTTGTAGGCAAGTAGACTTAGTAAACTTAGTAGGCATTGTCACACTGACTGCTAATATTGAGGTGATTATTACTCATTTATATACATATTGTATTATTCTCTCGTTATCTGTTTTAATAAGTGGACCGTCCACTCTAAAAGTGTAAAATTCGAATAAAAAAATGTTATTTTTATGTCATTGAATTCAAATTTAATACCATTCATGACAGTGACCCACTTGTAACCTACTCTACTTCAGAGCGACACCCACTTGCCCACCTTTTTTTATTCTTATTTTATTTTAATATAGGTAATAATTGGTATGTATATTTTATAGTTTATACTGAAATCTATACCACGGTCCTTACAAAACATATACTTTTGATTATATTCATATTATAACCTCCATGCGTGTGACGCTTAAAATAGATAAAACCAAATCTTTTCTTTCATAAAATATTGTTTTTATAGAATAGTCTGATTGTTGCATAGATCATTATAATACCATGGCCGTGATCGATGAACGCAGAGGCGTGACAAAAAATAGTACGTGTGGCTCGTGTGGGAAGGAAATTTCAATTTCAGTCTTGGGCGAAATACAACCCTCAACTGCGGCTCGTGCCACGCACATGTCGTCTGCGAATGAAATAACTCTTGTCCCGCCCTTTCCACAATATTCTATTTTGTGTACACTTTTATGGATTTAAATTTGAAAGAGAATGTAGAGTATATAATTTTGCATGCTTTCTTAGTTTTTTTTAAAACAATTAAATTATTAACTTGTAAGTTAAAACTAATAGAACTGTATTGTTTAAAACTTTTTTTTATTTAGTTACCTAGGTTTTACTTTGCTTGTTTTATATTAAACACCTTTATATGACCTACACATGTGTAAGTAATCACAGGTGTGATTTGGATTTACTCTTACATTCGGTAAGATATTTTGTAGGGAAATACACAATATAAAACTGTGCGTATGTCGGTGATGTAGTCACCTATCTAATTTATTTTTACAAGCAATTCGAATTTTGTTTAATATGAATTATTTAAAAAGATTTTTTTTTATTTCATTGTGTTACAATATTACTACTGTAATGGTTAACTGTGATACATTTGACAACTTGGTGGACAATTTAAAGTACATTCTTTCTGATGAAAATTATACAATTTGGATAAATTATATAGGTGGCGACAATGAAGTATTAGTCAACGGAGAATTTATAACAATTCAAAATTATTTAGAATCAAGTGATGTAACATATTTATACTCAATTCCAATAAATAATTCAAATTATTCTATTTATTCTACTAATAAATTGTTCACTGTTTCGAATACAATATATACATTTTTAAAATGTAAGTATTCTATTATAGTTGCAAGATTACTCAAATTTATTTATAAATCTATTGAATCATGTCAACTTATTCAACACCCAACTGACCAGGAGGATTTAATAATGAATTGTTTTGAACTAACTTTAGATAATTTCAAAAATGTGAAACCATATTTTGCAAAAGCTATTTTTCAATTATTCTATTTTAATGACTTATCTCAAAATCTCAAGTCTAGTGACCAAACATTGTTAATGTCATTATTGACTATCAATACATTTTTGTATAACGAAGATATAACACCCAATTATCAAAGATCATCAAGAGAATATGGTAAAAAGAAAACCCTCATTTACACTAACGGTGTCAAACAACATTTTAATAAATTGGTTACTCGATTGATTTATTCATTAGAGAACTTTTTATGTAAAAATTGCATGTATTCTTTTGAAGACTTGGATCATGATAATGGACACCATAATATATATCGTGACACTATATCTGATTCAACCAGAAATGACATTAATACGCAAATTTCCCAATTTATGAATGTTACCTACTTCATGGTTTTGAAACAGTTGAATAATTTAAAATTGAAAAATGTGGAGGTAGATTTTGAGAACTGTAGTGACATGTATGACTTACAGTATATGTTACTTAATAAAGTTATAAGTAATATAAGTGGTATTGAATCTCTACTTATGGAATTTAAAATGAAAACAAAAATTAACAAAGTTGAAACCATTAAAGACGTAGAAAATAGTTACAACATAATAAAAGTATTAAAATATCAAATATATTTAATTGAGTTCATCGGGAGCATATTTTCTGCGCAAATTCAATATTACGCCACACTTAATAATAAGTCTTTTAAATATGAAACTGAATATGTCTCTGTTAATCTTAAAAAATTAATCGATTCTTTTATTCAATACACTGATAATCTTATACCTGAAAACTATCCTCCGATTTTGCTATCGTTCATAAATGTATTAAAAAACGCATTACTTACGGATCTTAATCAATCTGAATCTAATAAGGTATTATTACTATCTGAAAAAACACAACAATTATTAAAGAGCAATTCAACGATTTACACGAAAAAGGAAAACGTTCAATTGTGTTTGAAAGTATCATTGCCAGATTTAATTCAAAATATCATAGGGTTTCATCATATTAATTCATTTAAACAAACATTTGAAATACTTTTGCAAGAATTTAGTACACCCGATGATTATTATTATTATTCAAAACAGGTTGATAATCATATGGAAATAAAAGATTCCAGTAATATTACACAAATTGAAACAGAAACGTGTAAAATCTTAGTGGAAATACGAGAATATTTGTTGTTAGTGTGGTCATTGATAGACATAGTAAATACCAATAATTATTTCACATTACCTCCATCTGACAATACTGATAAAAAATTACTACAAGAATACCTAACACCGTCTTATGGTAACATATTTCAATACATGGCTCACGTTTATATAAATACAAATGATTTACGACTTCAGATGATTTTGTTGCCGGTATTGGTTCATTTCAAAAATACCGAATGGATTTTGTATGAAGATACAAATCAAATATTAAAAAAAATGACTATAATACAACGAACATTAATTTTAGCTGTAAATTCGCTACAATACTACGAAGTCAACAATTGCCAAGATGTACTAATTAATAAAAATATTGTAGATAGAATCAACACAGATTTAGGAAAAATTGAAAATACTGATAAGATACACAATATACATTTACAAATATTTTTCAAAACAAAAATATCGAACTACGACAATTTAAAAAACCGTAAATATATCAATGATCTTATAGATAGATACACATATACTGATATAATACAACGAATGTACATGACCGATGTCCAATTTTCTTGGTATGGTATAAGGATGAGTATGTTCAGCTTAAATCAAGATGTCTTACAAAATATTGTTGATTATCAACGTATACTTAGATTCCAAACACTTATATTAAATTTTCTTGTAGCAAAAATATACACTCAACTCGAATACATTTTTAAATTTCCGACGAAATTGACTACGAAGAGAATACAGGCAATACGGAAATATTTGGGAGAACTTAATGGTCTTAAACACTCATTACCTCTGGTGTTGGATTTACAGAATATTTGTCAATCATATTCAAACATATTCGAGGATGAAGATATTTCTTTTAAGAACAAAAAATTATTTCGAAACCAAATAAATGACCGAATAAAAGCTTATGGGGTGTTTGAAATAGACGGAAAACACGAATTTAAGACATTTAACGATTGTTACGCGTCGTTAAAAAATGATATTGAAAAGTTAAAAAAATATTTAATGCATGCACCGCATAAAAAATTATTGATTTTTGTAGATGATCATGCAGTACCAATGACATGGAAAGATTATACGATTGGATAGATCTTAAGTATCGCTAAATGTTATTTAAATTAATGACGATAGACTAAATTTATAAACATATTGTAAACATAAATTTACTGTTAAATCATAAAGAGGTTTTTTTTTTATCTAAACGCTGGATTCGTGATATGTTTTTATTAAATGTTATCTAATTAGTTTAATTTTTAATAAAAATCCGTTCTTAAAATATAATTACCATTATATGATTATAGTTTTTATTCGTTTTACTATTTGTGTACATTTATGATATATACTTACCTATATTCCATAATATAATATTATAATGTTAATTTTTTTAGTAAATGTGAAATATCTAATTTTATTTTCCTAATTGTTAATGTGAAATTATATAATAATAATAAAAATAATATTTATTTTCCAAAGAGTTAAATACAAGTTACTATAATGATACACAATATTATAGAGTTTGATGGCCCAACTCACCACTGAGGATATTCTCGGATCGGTAAAGTTGGAGTACTAATACAAATAGGTAAATAAACATTTAGGTAAGTATAAGATAAATTTAAACCACAGTAAAAACGATTTATAATAGTAGTACAATTATTACAAACTATGCCATAAGAATTCAAATAGAAATAATTACAATGTTATATTCAAAGGTGGGCAAGTTAATGAGAATAATTAACTCAAGTTAAGTTAAGTTAAGAGGACACAATATCGATAACTTAAAAGTTAACAGTTAAAAAATTATAAATTTAACTCTATAAGTTAAAAGTTAATATAGAAAAAAATATTAACTTAACTCAATTCAAAAAAAGTTAATCTATTTATTTTTTTAAATTAGTATGTAAATCACATAAAGAGTGAATTGTGTCTTTCTGGTTTCTGGTTTCTAATTTATAAATTATAAAAAACAATTGTATTGAACTTTTATCATAATGTACACTGTATACTATTTTAATTTTACTTTACTATTATTTACTAATTTAAACTATACTCATCTTAAATTAATAATTTAACAATTATATTTTTTATATCGTATAGCAATTGAATGTCATAATAAGTGAAGATAATTACATGATCTTCATATATATTATAAATTATATAACATTAAGACATAACAATTGTCAATTTGTAATTTAAAATTATTAATTTTATTAAAAACATTTATAATTGCAACTCGCATAATATATGATTTACAACTTAATAAAATATATTAACATACACAAAGTTATGTTATCAAGAAAAAGAACAGAAATGTTTGTGTTTTTGTATTGGATTATTTTTATTTTATACTGATATAGTGATATAGTAATATTTACTTATGAACGAAAAATTTCAAAATGTTTTTAACTTGATGATTTTTTTTAAATCAACTGAGAAAAGCTAAGTTATTTCAACTGTAAATTAAACTAGTTAAGTTCATAAGTTGATTAGAAAATAAACTAACTAGTTAAGTAAAAAAGTTAAAAAAAAATTAACTTTTTAACTTAACTATAACTTTTTAACTAGTTAATAATGCCCACATTTGGTTATATTATTATTTTTATTATCCGGTCAACATTAAAAACTGTAGAAGTTATATAAGGTTACTGAGGTTACTGATTAACCATAGTTTAATAGATTTCTTATATTTATATAAGATTTACAGTTAATAATGCGTGTGATGGAACTTTACTTATTAGGTAAATACCTACATAGGAAAATAAATCGTCTTGATTTTAAAGTTCGAACAGTAGAAATATCTAAATATTTTTTTGTCGTGCATTATAATATATTGGTTTGCAATGTATTAAATTAAATTTATGTGAAAAATATAGATTGTTTTTGCAAAATAATTGTTTAACAGGGAAAGCTTTGAATTCTTCAATTCAAATAGTTTAACAGAGGAATATGATTTGGGCTTATTTATTATTATTTGTATAATGTTGTTTTGAGCATTCGTGTACCTATCCATAGTCAATTTATGTGACACAAAAATTGACTATACACACGGACATCATTATCTTATTACTTGCTACAATTTTTAAACCATCCCGAGTAGTTAAACCATATTGTAGAATAGACTGTGCCATCGAAAAATAGATCATACGTAAGACTTGAATATTTAGGAATTTTCTTGCGTTAATAAATAGATAGTACAGTTTTCGTAATTTAATTATTATGTTATTTATGTGAGTGTCCCATTTTAAGTGCTGATCAACAGTAATTCCTAAATATTTTGTATTTTCAGTCTCATAAATAGCGTTACATTATCAATTATTAATTTCACAATTTTTATTATGAATTTTTATTTAGCTTCAATTAGATTGCGTTCTTTTGTCTATAGTGAAAGTTATATAACTCTATTTAGTATAGTTAATTCTTAAGTTATGTTGTAAAGCCATGCATTTATCAAGTGCATATCAGTTTCGGCTTTTTGACGAACTTCCGTGTAGTCCTCAAAAGAAAATAATTTACCTTGAATATTTAAAATCGCATTTTCAAAACGACCGAGAAGAAGCCTAGGTTTTATAAATCAAAATGTATGTGAGAACATTCACTTGTGTAATCACAAGTGTTATTTTAATTTGAAAATATAACTTCCATAATTACATTAATGACATTAGCATTATAACAACTATAATTTCATAATTTCAGTATAGTATTACATTTTTTACTAGCCTTTGTTTCGCGTGTGCAATGAAGTACTTAAAGGTATTTTTATTTTTTGTTTTGTGTTTCTTCAATGTATCTGAAACGATCAGATACGATGAAACTGACAATTTAAGTCTTATAGTAAATTATCTGATCAATACAAATGAAAATTGGATGTCTGTTATTATTCCTCGTCGCAAAATATTAATCAACCATGAATTTCAAACGATAGAGATGTATTTAACAAAGTTACCTAAACAGTTGAAATCCAGCACTTCATCGTCACAAAAAAAATATTTCGTTTCTAAACCAGATGTATTACAAACTTTGAATTTTATGTACACAGCTCTAAAATGTGAGTATGCATATTTGATTCGTGATATCTTAAAATTTTTATATCATGAACCTAAAAAAACATTTAAAAGTCTTAAAGGTATACAAATATATTTAGGCAAAGTAATTTTCAATTTATTTAAATTTAAAGAGTTATCTTCAGATCTAAAATCTAGTGACCAAACATTAACAATATCGTTATTGAGTATCCATGTGTTCCTGTATAAGAACGGCATTAATCCTAAAAAATATGCGAAAACTTTAATAACAAAATGGATTCATCAAATGATTTCTTTAATAGAGATATTCATCTGTAAAATGTGTTTCTTCGAATTTGCGGAATTAGATATTATGTCAACGCAAAAGCAAAATCTAAACAGTCATCCTCTGGATGAATGTTTATCACGGTTGAAAAATTTTAGTGATATAGGTTTATACGACGATAAATATATTGACCCTGATATGTACAATCCGTATAATTTTTTGATGCACGACTACACAAACGATATTGGATTGTACGATTTAATGATTGAATGTCCATCGGTTCCAAAAAAAACAATGCACATTTTCGAATCATTAATAACAAGTTATGGCATAAAAAATGTGTTAATTTATCAAATATTTTTAATTGAATCATTAAGGAGCCTATTTTCTCAACAAATTATGGATGTACTACAAAATATTACTTATGATTCTAATGAGAAATTGTCCAAACTTGATCAGTTATACGATGGATTTAATAAATACATGGATTTAATACCCGATAATTATCCACCAGAATTTTTAAATTTCATACATGATATTAAAAATGCTTTGACTGATTCCCTTCAATCAGATAAGGATAACTTTGAATCATTGCATCATATACTAAATAATATATTAAGCACAACATCAATTATTCACTTGGAAACAAAAAAAATCAATAGTATGACTATTATATCAATTACTGATTTGATTAAAAATATCAAAGTAAGTCCATATTTTTCATCGTTCAAACAAACGTTTGAAATTTTATTACAAGAGCCAAATATGTTAAAAGATTACTATTTACTTGACGAAATTAACTATGATAAAATAACAAAATCTTCAAATGAGACAAGTGATGTGTGTTTGCTAGTGCCTCAAATACGGATTGGATTTATTTGGATCTGGGTGATGCTAGATAGAATGCCAGATGATGAATTAAAAAAACCTTTAGATTCATATATATTAACTATATTTAAAAACGTTACTTATCTATATGAATTTAAAAATACCAAGTCAATGGTTAAAAAGTCGTTGTTAAATTTATTAAATCATGTCAAAAATTCAACATCTCAATCACTTGCAAATATCAATTCTATAGAATTCGTTATATTAAAACAGTTAATATTGAGCACAGTTATTACAATGGATTATCAAGAACTAAACAATTGTGAAGTAACTGAAGAAAATAAAACACTTTATGCAGAATTAACTTGCTTACATAAGTTCCCTTTTACCTATATTCAGGAAGAAATAGATTTGGCAATACAGAGGATTTGTAAAATGACAGGTCACCGCTACGATGGTACTTCCGAAGTACAAAAAGGACACACGTATATCGATACAATAAAATCTCTAGATGAGAAAGAATCGAATAAAACTCACTTTTATTGGTATGTTTATAAAAAACAAGTTTTAAATATTTGTCAAGATTTATACCAAGATTTTAAAACACCGGACAATCATCAGATAAATTATAGGTTTCAATTGACTGTTTTGGAATGGTACTTATATAAAGCATACACACAAGTATTGTGCATGTTCAGAATTAAAAACAAACTACCATCAAATGAACAAATTGTTTTTATAAAAGAAGTTTTTGAAAAACTCCTGGAAAGTCTTACATTTTCAACATATTTAATAAGAGTTGTACTACATTTCATTAACATTTACGTTAATTACTTTGAAAATAAAACAATAGATGAAGAAAGTATCAAAAACTTTACTGATATAGCAAATGAACATGCAGACAAGCTGCCTTATCCTCATGTTTCAATCAAAAAATTTCAACAAATACACCATTTTTACTATTCATTCAATTCAACTATTGAATTCATATATCATTATTTTATAGATACTAACAATGTTAAATTCATTGTTGATGAAAATAATCTCACTGTGTCCATGTTTTGGGACAAATTAAATATGAAATGTTAAAATAAATAATGAACCATAGAATATTGTATTTTATTGTTAATTATATTTATTGAGATATGTAAATGATGTAAAGGACTGGATGATTGAGGAAAATTTTTCTTCATTTTAAAAATACCTAACAATAATAATTAATAAGTTTATTTTATAGGTAATACGTTTTATTTAAATATGCAAATAAATTGTATAAAATTAATTTACTAGTTATTGAAAAATATCAATTTAGTACTAGAAATAGAGGGCTCTTGTCCTGTATTTTAAAGGATATAGTCATTGACTTAAGTCAATTGTCCTGTTCAAATTTAAAAACTAAGGGGGTTTCAGTCGGTCATTTTCTATGGAGTAAGGATTAGGCAATTATGTGGCAAGTACAACCGGAGACCATGTCAATGTGTGTGAGTGTAAATGAACATTAGTGTGTGAAAAAAGAACCGGCGTTCTCGCACTCGCAGGTACATGTCAGCAGTATATTAAATTAGAAAAAATGTATAAGGTTACTTTTCGAGTAAAACATAACTCAGCTGTGACAAAATTGTGAGACTTAGGTTGGTGCGATTTTGATTCTGTAACAATCCTAACAATTATTAACACGTCCTCTAAAGAAAGGTCGAAGAATTTTTTAGAAATATTAATTTATTCAATACACATGATTGAACAAAAATCTTGTAAAAACTGAAATTTGTATAATATTATAATATTGTCAAAAGTTCATACTTTTAAAAAAAAAGCTTCGACCGTTCTCTAGAGGAGATGTTAAGAATTGTTATTATTTGTACACCATCTAAAGTCTCACAATCTTGTCAGAGGGTATTTTTTTTTATTATATTGAAATAAATCTACAATATACACATTATTTTTGTACAATAAGTAGGTATGATAAGTGACAGTAAAAATAGGTTGTCATGGATCATCAGATTAGGGAGGATACCCAGTGGTAACACCCTATAATAGCGGAGGGTCTAAAAACGATTCTTTTTCGTCTGGAACCACCTTGACAAAATAAGAATATCAAATTATAATCACACCATTTTATTGGTCATATACTGATAGCTGGTTATTGTGATTGTAAACAAAGGCTATGTAGGGGAATATAACTAAAACCTTGGTCTGTCTTTAACCATGGTTACTAAATCCAAGTTAAGCCACACCAAGTACAAAAGTTACAAATAATGAAGAATTAAAACAGAATATTTATAGTTATAGTTTCATACAACGACAAAATAGATTTAATTTTTCTTACCTATATCTAATTCCTAATTCATTTTTACTTGTATTTCTTTTCTTGTATATTATTATTCTAAAATTAACTGTATGTATTAGTCCAAAATAGAATGTAATTTCAAATAAAGTATAACTAAAAGTTTTTCGTAATTCCTAATATAATATTTTTTTCAAATTCGACGGGAGTGGGTGACGCTTAACATTATTCGGACGGGTCATGAGCCATGGACTAGTGATGTGCCTTGGGAATACTCCCAAAAGAAAGAAATATATAATTGGGAATTTATCGGGAATATTTCCACAACATATATTTCTTCCCAAACTTGAGAATTTTTTTTTCCGTTTTATTAGTCCACACTGTTAGAGGTTCACTAGATAACATAATTCAGAACAACGTTTTTTATAATGTTTAATATATTTTTCAGTTATTAAGTTTTTTGTTAAATATATGGAGTATTTCATATTTATTTTATTTTGTATTATTACTATTAAATATAGCTACTAGTTATAGTTAATTTATTGGAAATTTGTTATACTTTTTTTTAATGTTTTTCCTAAAAAATTAAACTAAATGTCTTAACAGATATTTTCTTCAATACCTATCAACTTTTGTGTAGAAGATACTACAAAGATAAAAGACATTATTTTTCAATTTTCATTGAGAAAAGTAGGTACTATCATAATATTATTCATAAAAATATAAAGACAATTATATTTTATTATTTATATTTATTTTTAATTAAGTTAAGGCTACAAAATCTGAGGTCATTAGCAAGCCACAAATTATATTTGGGCAGTGTTTGGATTGGGTATAGTTTAATTTTGACTTGCCTACTAGAATTTTCAAATTTATAGTAAAAATTCCCATTATTTGGGAATTTATTAAAAATTCCCGAAATATTCCTAGGGAATATTCCCTCACTTTTAAATACGGGGAATTTACCCATCACTAGCCATGACTGAAGTGGAGGTCTAGGATAGCCTGATAGCGAAATTAAGAATGATAGATAGTCCAGCATCTGATTATGGTCATCCATTTCCAATTTTAAGTCACACATAACATAGTAAACTAATGCTCTATTCGATCATCTGAGGGGACAATCGGTGACTCTACAATATCACTTCAAACGTGCACGTATGGAATAGGATACTGCAGAACATAAACGTAAAACGTATTACTAAAATATTATGTTACAATATTAATTATTTTATATAAAAATTAAATTAAATTTTTCATTTACTCGTTATATTAATATCTACTAAATATTATGTATGTTTGTTGATTTACTTTAAATGGTGTATCTAAGATATACCTATAATTTTATGCATGACGTATCTACACAACAAAAACACTCCGCCAAACTCAGTGTAAGAAAAACGTTAAGTACAATGTACATGTATAAAAAAACTGTTCTAAAAGTTGTGATATAATTTTATTGCTAAGTTTTTGAACTATAGATATAATTTATGTCAAAATAGTCTGCTTAATAATTTAACTTAACTTGGTGAGTTTAAAACACTTGATAAATAATTAATACAATTCTTATTTTAATGATGGTAGACAGTAGACTATATTATTTTATGTAATCATTATGTTATAGTATTTTTAAATTTTTAAGTCGCCAAGCTAAGTTCAATTATTTAGCAGACTATTTTAACATAAAGTAAATCTATAGTTCAAAGGCTTAGCTATACAATTATATCACATCTTTTAGATCCGTTTTTTTGTATAGGTACTTAGCGTTTTTTTACACAGAGTTTGATGGAGTTTTTTGTTGAGATATCACTCATTTTTGTTGATACCTTATTATTTCAGGAACATATTGTTTTACAATGATCTTTTTCTCTATTTAAAAAAAAAAATTATTTTATAAATTAAGTTTATATGTTAATAAAATATTGTTTCCATTGGTTGCAGATTATAATTTCAGGTACAATAGCTAAGATATTAAAGGATATTATAATAAACTAGTCATGACCAGTATTTCGGTAGTAAATTAAAATGTTTTTGAAAAATATATCATTAATTTCATAGTAATAATAATAATAATTAATAATGAACTCTCTGTAATCGAAAACAACCAAACATATATTAAGAAAACACGATATGAAGCGTGATATTATGCACTTGTGTAATCACAGATGTGATTTTAATATCATATGAAAATGTAATAAGTTACAATAGCACTAAAACTTTATTATCAAAATGGCTTACCTATATTAGTACTCTATTGTAATATAATATTTTATTACGATTGAGTGTTATTACATATAAAATGAAGTATTGTAAGTCATTTGTACTTATATATTTTTGTTGCGTTATGTCAAAATCGCTTGTAAATAGTACACAGTTAACTGAATTATTAAACACCATAAACTCGAAGATCACTCATAACAGCTGGGATACAGTTATTCGTCAAACCAATATAATAATCGATGGAAATCCTACAACGGTTATCAGTTATTTAAACAATAATTTAAAATACGATGCTACAACTACAGATATTCAGTTAAACGAATCAAATGTACTAGAAGTATTACTTTTGGTGTACACAGCTTTCAAATGTGAGTATGCATCTTTCGTTAGAGATTTACTCAACTTTTTTTTTGAATACATCTCAATATGTGAGACGTCTGTAAATACACATTCAACAATTAATGTTGCAGATGGTTGTTCACATAACAGGATAATTTCTAAATTTATTGATTTTAAACAAAATATTGTGAAAATTATTTTCAATCTATTTAATTTTATGGACTTGTCTCAACATCTCATATTAAGTGATCAAACGTTTTTAAAGTCACTTATATCCATTAATTTGTTTCTATATTACCACCAACATTTGACCGATGACGATGGGGAGTCGAATATATTACATGCAACATATTATGACGATGATCAGTTAGGCCATATTATTGTATTAAAAAAAGTAGTTGTTCAGATAAAAGACTTGGTCGACCACTTTCGGTGTAAAAATTGCTTTGTTGGCTATGATTATTTCAAAGATTCCAAAAATAACACTAGTGACTTATCAACTAAAATACAGGAACTCTACGATTCTTACTCATTAACCTCAAAAATGGATCGTTTTGACGACATAGGCTTACAAAACGACTTATATGATGTTGAGATGTATGATCCAAAGTATTTGTTAGTCACAGAATTATTTGAAATAGACAAAGATTATTTTGAATATTATTTATTGGCATTTTACCACGATACGCATAATAGCTATGACATCAATGTTATATTTCAATATCAAAATTATATAAATCAAGCAGTTACGCTTTTTATGACTAGAACATTTCTAAAATCAATAGATTTATATATTAACAAACTCGGCATTGATTGTAATACACCAGAAACACTTCTGTCAGATTCTTATAGGCTACTGGTCGAAAAAAAAGATTCACTAACAGCGTTATCAGACTCGGAGAAAGGTGATTTATCTGAAAAAAAAGATTTACTACCTGCGGTAAGAGAAACTTTTTTTTCAACGTTATCTTATTTGGACCAACGTGATTTATCTGTAAAAATATTGAAACTATTAAATAGTAAAATGCCAGATTATGCACCAGATAGTAAAGAAGAGGAAAATATTTTTTTGATGACAGGTTTCGTCATAAACATTGTAAACTCCGTTAATTTTAAATCATTCCTCCAGACTATCGAAATATTCAAACAAGAGTTGAATTCAAACGATGATTATAACTTACTGACGATGGATGCACATGGAAAAATAGAAAAACGGGTAGACGGTGTTCAGGGTATAGACACTGAATCGTGTAAGGCCACGGCTGTTCTGCGTGAAATCCTGGTTTCGATCAGTTTGCTGGTAAATGTCTTGGAAAAACATGGCGTGTGCATCAAAGGCGACGATAGCACAACCAAAGAACAATGTTTCCAGGATTACTTGAGGTTGCATTTGAACAGCGTATTCCAGTGTATCAGTAATTTTATTGAAAGTACGACCGATGAGAAGTTACAACAGAGGTTGTGGCCAATATTATTTCATTTGGAAAACATGGGGTGGACTTACCTCGGTGTAAATGACGATGAAGCGTATACACAATACGTTACGATCCATCAATATGTACTGATGACTTTGGGCTCGATAGAACTCTACGAATTGAGCAATTGCAAATCGCCGAAATACAATCAAACGCTCTATGACAAAATGGTCGGGTATGCTGAAAATAAATCTAACCACAAAGAACAATTGTTTGTGACGCCGAGTACTGCTGAAGATATGATCGACAGGTTGAGGGCGCATATAGCTTTTAACACCTTAAAATATGATCATGTCAGCTACAGTTCTATCACTTATATCCATAATAGTATGTTTAACGACATTTTAAGCTACTTCCCTGAGGTATATTCGAAAAATTATCAGTTTTATTGGTATGGACACAAAAAAAATATTTATCATATAGTACGAGCTGTCACACAAAACGTGATCGATTACCATGGCGTACTCAGCTATCGATTGATTATTATACAATGGATTATTTCTACAGTCTATATAAGAATGAAATCTATTTTGAAAATATGCCACCCACTGAAAAAAACCGATATCCATATGATAAAAAAACAGTTATTCGTGATCCGTGAAGAATTTAAAGCTCCAGAAGCTTTAAAAAAAGATTTTAATGATAATGTTGATAGATATTTACGTGTTATAGAAACGGAAAATTCTTTTGATCTTAAAGTGAATAAATTCAACGACTTTATCATGAAAAAGTTCGAGTTATTTGATTTTGCTGCTATAGAGGCTGAATTAACAGCAGAAAATGTTTGTTCCGGATTAAAAGATTACTTTGAAATTATAAAGTCAAAATTGATTTCGATGAGTAATAATTATATTGATTATAATAGTAATAAACCATTATAACTCTGGTAGTGTCATATCATTAATTTGTGTTATTATTTGATAAAAAGTTAACAATTCAAATATTTTTATCTTTAGTCTTTTAATAAAAAATGTATAGGCTGTTAAATAGTTTAATCCGAACGCATCATAATATGCTTATTTTTACAATTGACCTATATTATAATATTATTACATCAATACGATAATTGTTTTTTCTGTTTCTAACTGTATTATTTTCAGAAATTCATCATGTTTGTTTTAAATGAATAAAAAATATTGTGTAATTATTTAATATACTTATTAAAAAAATATGCTTAATAAGGTTTTTACTATTAACTGTTTTATTTTCTACGAAAATACTGTTTGTGAAATAGAAACAAAAATCAATATTATTTCGTAGGGAAAGTTATCATTTTAAACCAATAGATAGGTACACTCCTTATTTTTGAATAGATTACGAGTAATTCACACTCAATTATCCATTTATTAAGCAATGTCGCACAATAATTATTAAAATATTTAAAATTTGATTTTGTGTAAAAAAAATCACAACGTTACTTAAATTGTTTTAACTATTTAAAAACGTTAATTCAAACCCTGCCCTCAAACACACACCTGTGCCTCCAATTTAAAAATCTAGTACGTCAATGACAATGAAGGAAAAATACCACTATATATGTCACAAGAAGACAGACAATACGCAAAATACAACTATCTTTGTGACGCATATAAACAGAGTGATTCACCTCACATCCCATTTAATTCTTTAATAATGAATTTATTCAAATTAAAATTGGTTTTTTTGAATATAAGTATATTTTGTCTTTAAGGATCATACGTGAAAATTCTTGAGATTTTTTCACTATCCATGAAGTGTCGTTTGGTGATACAAACTCTGTATTTCAAATGAGAACCCTACTTTTATACTGTTAATTATTTAATGAATAATTGTGTTGATCATGCTGACGCACCTAATTCAAAATTCGAAGTAGTTATTAAAATGATTACTTATTTATAAACTGTTTAGGGATCTAGTATTTATTATAGTTGGACTATTTTCATAAATTACAAATATTAATTAGGTACTAAATTATTTTAAATCACCGTAGCCCTTATTATCTTCCAAACTCATTATCTTGGACCTATTACCATTAGTTCACTAATTTGTATAACTCTGTAAAACAATACTCATTCGAATTTTGATTTTGATACTTCAGCATTTTCATAAAAATTATCAGCTAAATAATTTACAGTAAAAACAGGTTTTAATTTTAAAAACAGAAGTTTGTATCTCCACATAGGTACATTCGAAAATTCTAAAAATCATATTTTGAATAACTGCATTATTGTTAAAAAGGGGGAGGGGGTGAACGTGCTTTTTGAATCACACTGTATAATATTATTGTACGATTTTTAAAGAAAATTATTTTTGAAAAAATAACCGTTCACGAAGACGTGCCTCCGACACCTGCTGCAGTATAGTATAATGTAGTATTGTGTAATATTATACCCATTACACAGTCGTCCTCTCCACGAAGATAATCGCAGTAGGTAAACTCCTCGAAAACGTTTAACAATACAATTATTCTTAAATCGTTCCGTCGTCGCTATAATAATAATATTATTAAACGCATATAATAAAATGACCGCTAAAAACATAATACGATCGTGTCGCGGTTCGGCGCCTCTTTGTAATCCGAGAACCTTATCGTAACACGATCATCGAATAATAATAATTATTATTATGTTATGTATAATAATATGCTTTCGCAGTATACTTTATAATATTACTAACCCGTCAAACATTTTTTCGGGCCAGTACAATAATAATATTAATATGATATTTCGACGGCGTTGAAATGAAAGGTAAGAGAAAAAAATCGTCTCGTCTCATAGGGTTCCACACCCTCTCTTATACATACACCGCGGTAGCAGTATAGATAGGTAACTTGTGGTCGCATCGAATTCTGAACGTTTCCTTACTACCTACGCCTATACTATTATTAAATAATATGTATAGATGGTAGGCGGTAGCTCCACTTATTTTAATTGTGCACACGGTTATAATATTATATCATATAATATGACACCCCAATCATGTATACCGCCGTGATATAGTCAAATAACAGATGAATGGTGACGGATAAATATTAAATGTATAGTACTAAATTGATTTCGTATGATTCGTATTTCGTAATATTTTAGATTCCGAACAGAGAAGCGAATGTATTGATTTTACAATGATGTGTGTTTTTTTTTAAATTTTTATTTGTGTCTGTGCAGTGTGCACACGATAAGTAATCGGAATAATGCTTTGATTTTCAACTTCATTATCATGTTTGGTGGGAAAGTGAATCTAATTGGGTGCATTCGGGTGGTCAGTATTAGTTTTAAAAAGCGCCGGTATAAACAAAAAAAATTACTTAAGCAAGAACGGGAATTTTTACTCAAAATCGGTTTTCAACAAAATCGATTTTAACTCTAAAACAAATGACCGTAAATACATGCAATTTTTACTGTATGTTTATATCAGCATAACATTTTCAAATTATTTTGACTTGTCTTGAGCTGTTTTCGGACATTTTCAATTTTTTTAGTTTTTTTTTTTTTTATAAATGTCAGTACAATTTTATTCGTCGGGTCAAAAATTTGAAAATTTAATACAAGGTTCTTTATAAGTTTAACTAAGTTTACATTACCAAAAATAAAATCTCTACCGGAAAGTCAAATTACATTTTTATGAGAGTTTGAAGTTCACATTTTACAACATTGGATATTCACTCGATTACTCTTGTAGCGATTTTATTATTTTGTTGTAATTCAAAAACGAACAACTGTAGATACTTGAAATTTGGACCATATATTTATTTATATATTTATACTTTATCATTTCCTATACTTGAAAACATTTAAAAAATATTTTGACTCGTTTTGAGCTGTTTACAGATAAATTGGGGGGCTTTACCCACCAAAAACTCCTGAAGCCTCCGAAACTACTTATTTCCTAATTTAATTTCGTCAAAATAATAAATTATGTTAACACTTGTTAAATAATAGTTTATATTTCTAAACCCCCCACATATTTGTAACCATATTTATGCCTTTGTAGGTATTCGTACTATTGTAGAAGTATCCTGGGGTGAATCAAATTTTGGGGCGAATCATTTTTTTTAAATGAATAGGTACCTCCTCTTTTTAATTTCAAATTGTTATAATCAAATAATTTTTTTTGAAAGTTTGAATGCATCTAATTCAAATTACCAATGAAGAGTTTTGGATAATATAGGTCCAACCTGGGGAGGTGCTCAAACATGGATTTTGAGATTTACATTGGAAATGTTTGTTTATAAATGGTTGTTATTGGTTATAGGAGAAAAAATTAGTAGAAATTAGTAGTGATGGGCAACGGTATAATTTTCTGTATCGATATCGTTCAGATTTTTCCGATATTGTATCGCGATATCGTTATTTCTACGATATCGATATCGTATCATAAATATAATTTTATGTTTACCTAAACAATTAAAAAAACTTTTCGTATTCATTTAATTAAATTTCTAAATATATATCACACTAAGGAATTTACTTTATTAAGCTAATTAATATTTATTGTTTATTATTGATACACCGACATCGTACACAAATTTTTTCCAAATATCACTCCTAGCCCCAGGTAGAGGCACCAATTTTAATTCACTCATCACTAAAAATAATGTTGTAATTTGAAAATAATTATCACTGTAGGATAAATGACAGAAATATAACGGTCAACGGAGTACGTAACAGACGTTTACGCCGCACCAACGACACAAATTAGACTGTAGATTATGGAATATCCAGTGGTACTATACCGTGTACCTCTTAAAAGTCAGCAAAATATTCCTTTTAAGATAACATAATTTATAATGGATTATTATTACTTGAAAATGGGGGGGGGGGTAAAAGTATACATTTGGTGAATAACTCTGTGGCTGGGTGTGTATGTGTATATAATATGTTACGTATAAAATCCGAATCTTAAAAATACATAACGATTCCGTGTAAAAAAAAATGTCCTACACATAATATTATTATAGAGTCGGGTAACTTCACCCTGGAAAAAATTATCGACAATTTACAAAATAATAAACTAAAATGTTTAAATATTTTACTGGCGAGGTAAGTCAAAACAATTACTACACAGGGCTAGTGATTTTTGTTGGTTTTGAGGGTCCTTCCCCCACAAAAAAAAAAAAATAAGCCCTTGATCCGCTACTGCAGGCACTTTAACTTTCCGTTTCGACGAGAAGTGAAAGAAACCAAAAATCATGCAAAAAGAAAAAAAGCAAAGAAGATGAATTTAGTTAAAAGTCGGTCGTAGAATAAAATTAACGATTTTGAGCACATTTGCGATTTGCGACCCGGATGCGTTTTCGTTCTCAGCCGTCGATCACGGTATCAGGGGCCCATGGTCGCGAGTGTGGCACTCTCTTTCACCGCGCTGTAAATTAAAATACACAACGTTTAAACATTCTACCGGTCCGCTTCTATGCGCTCCTGGTACGTGGTTGCCCTATTTGATGAAACGCCGCGTTGAAACCGCTCATAACTTACCGTCGTCAATCATCATCACCGTTTTATTTCCGAAGAGGGTAACGAAGATGAACACTTGACAAAAAAAAAAAGGAAAAATTTTTATTTAAATGTATGCCAAAAATTGTGAAAATTATATAATTTATGAAATATACTCGTGTCGAGAAATTCCCAATAATAATATTTAAAAAAATGTATTACGTTCTAATTTATTCAAAAAAATATTGATATTTTAAAAAATTCAATAATAATAATAATAATAATGAAGAGCAATAAGAGGGCTTCAGCGTATATAATGTTTTAAGGAGTAATATTTAGGCAATTCACACGATATGTACATTTGGGCTGTCTATGTGTGAGTAATAAATTAACATTAGTGTGTGTTTCCGAGAATCACTGTAATGTCGCGTCGAGCAACCACTGCCGGATGTAACTCTCGCACGAGCACG